GATTTAGAATACTAAATTAAAGAAATACCTGTCAGAAAATGAAAAACTATTTACACACACACACAAACACACACACATACGAAGAACCAAGACATCGTAAAATAAGAAATTAACACAGGGTTTCCTGGTAATTCAATACCTACTTAATTCAAGATAAGGAGTCTGGCTATCCTATTATGGTACTGATATTGATGCATTTACAGAAACACCACTAAAAATAATTAAGGAAATAAATACTTCTAACGTTATACCTAATGAAAGGCTTAAAATGTACAGATACATTAATATAACTATATGGACACAAAATGAAAAGACATAACTAAATACACCGTCTCAGAAAATTATTTATATGCAAAGGTATTTTTATTTATATAGTTTGTTGAAATAAATTATTTTAATACGAGCATACAGCAATGAACAAAGATGTTTTTACCGCATTTAAGATCTCAAAGCAAAGTCATATTCCTTAATTTACAATTGGCAAATTGAATATATGCACTAATGTATGCACTAACTGATTCTTAACTAAAGAGGTGGGGGAAGGCCACCAGTAGGAAAAGACTTGAAGGCGAAAGAAAAGATAAAATCTAAAAATCGCTGACATCTGAGTGACTGCTAGTTACCACCTCCTTTAGCAGCTCTCTGCCAAACCATCCATAGTCTAGGTCTACATAAGACATATTAAAAATAATTATACAGTATTATCAATCAATTAATTGTAATTTTCCTTACTACTCTTAACCTTTTACCATTTTAGATGTATTTAACATTTAAAATACATATTTTAAGGGATCTTACTATGAATTTTTTAAAGAAAATTAAAAAGTATTCCAAATATGCAAAATAAATACGGGTCAATTATTACACATTCTTCTTCAAACTTAAGAACATAAACCTTTTCAATAAGGAGTATAAGGAGTATACAATTGCTCTAAAACAAGAATAGCAATCTCAATTAGAGATTTAAATAACTTAAATTTATAAAATTATTTAAGTTAAAACATTCCTGCTTCTTTCTAGTTTGAACAAATAGAAAATGCTTATGCCTAATTTAACCAAGGCTAGTTTTAAGTAACAGTAAGACTTAGAATTATACTTAAGGTCCCAATCAGCACAGTAGAAACTTATGATACTACTACACCAATAATCATTTTTGTTAGCATCCTCTACTGGTGGTTTCCAATGACAGCAAGGGGAAATGGTGCTGATGACAGAAGGATATGGACCTGCCATTCCATCTAAAGAGAATTAATCAGCGTGTGGTCATCAGTAGCTAGAGTACATCTCTAAAAAGAAAAGAAAGAACAAAAAGAAAACCACACAGAAGAAGCAGAAAAAGAGAAAAGACAGATTTTTAGAAATACAACAAAGCATTAAATTATAGATGGTAAAAACTAATTCATGAAATTGTCACTCCTTTATAGATGACTAACATCATTATCACAAAGTTATCACACAAGGTTTGTTGCTTTGGCCAAACCACACTCAACTGGTTTACCCCTGTCAGTTGCACTACCTGATACTCCCTTTGACATCCTACCTTCAGACATATTCCAGAAAGGAAATTAAAAGGTTTTAAAGCAGCAAAATCCACATATCTTATTTCAAAATGAATAAAATATATACATATATGTAACAACATAAACTATCTCTATGACAATCTTCCACTGTATACATCATTCCTTCATTAAAAAGATTTAAGAGTTAACATTTTGCCAGGTAATTCTTTCCAATAAACATCTGCAACTTAAATATGACTGCATTGCTAAGAAATATTAACCAGCAGATATACCGAGGCTTCACAACACAATGGAATATAACTTCATTTTTAATTTACAAACATAAGGCTAAATCAAATAGCATGGCTATAATCACCAGCAATGGATGAAATACATTTGAGAACAAAAAGAAATACAAGGACAGAGCCAAAAGTGATGAAAATGGAAGATACCTGTAGTAGTACAGTGCTATCTTAAACACCTTTTGTTTTCTGAGAGTAATGCATACTGCAGACAAGACGTTTTGTGCTAAACAGCCGAAAATCTGTTTTTCTAATATTAAACACAAAGGAAAAACACTGACAGCAAGCGTGATAAATAAATCCCTCCCTTGAGAACGAAAGCAGCAGACAGGAGGGGGCTGACATACATGCAGGAGAAAACTAAACACCATCTTTTTTCTACCTGCACAAGTTGCCATTTGCTGCAGCGATCAAGAACCTCTCTTTCCTGTTGATTTCAAGTACCTTTCAGGATCGCTTTTCCCCCTTAAGTCATCTGTTGATATGCCTTACGAGCGTAATATTCATATCACAGGATCTTAAGGAGAAAAATCCATTCTTTCCTGTTCAGGTAAACATGTTTACAGCAGCTGCACAGACACTGGGTGGTTCAGACTCACATGTCACACACATGTCGTCAGCAACAAGAAAAGCCCCTTTCTCTGGCGATCAACATTTTAAATAAGGTAAAAAGCGAACGGCCCTTTCCGAACCAACTTACCTTTCATAAAGCCACATCAGCAACAGCGGCAACAGCTCAATATAGAACACACACTATTTGACGCTAAAACAGGAAATTAAAATTGCAATAGCCTATGCTCCACTCGTTATAATAACTCATCTCTCCACAATGAGGATACCAAAATACCTTTCGATCACAATCAATAGACGTCTTTAAAATGCAAGTGTTTATATGAATAATTAAAATCACTCATAAAAGCAGTGATTTTAATGTCGGCACGAATATATTAAAAATATGTTTACGGATTGGAAGGAAACATCTTGAAACAGCTTAAAAATCTTCGTATCTGCTTCTAGACAGGAAATCCCACACAAAATCTAAAATTGCCAGGAAAGGTTACAAAACCTCGCGTTTCGCATCCCAGAGGGGAGGGAGAAAGGGAGCCCCAGGGGGGGGGGGGGGGACAGGGGGACGGGAGGGGGGAGCACGAGAGAGTTTTCTCCTAAACACGTTATTTCCTCGTTTTCTCAACGCTGCAGCGGTCCCATTATAGACGCATTTATTCCCCCTCTCTTAAAAGTCGTTTTAAAAAGAACGCAGGAACCAAAGCGATCCCCTCGGTCCGAAATGTACGTGTAATTCCTTATATAGCCTGGGCTGCGGCCGGCTGCAGGGCCGTTTGCCGCCCATTATTATACAAACAGGTACCGGGGCGGCGCGGGCGGGGGCTGCTCTCCCGGAGCTCCCGCCGCCCCCGGGCGGACAAGTCTCGCCCCTCTCGCCACAGGAACTGTCCAGACAATAACAATCAGCAGACATTTCGCTGCTGCACGAGAGGGAGAGAAAGCACAGCATCGCCCCCAGATAAACAGGAATACAATCAACTTACAGCGTCTCTCCAAACTGGAAAAGGCGACTGTGCAACCACCACCACATGTTCGGGTCTCGATCCCTCGGGCTGTCTCTCGCTCCCTCGCTTTTTTTTTTTTTTTTTTTTAACTCTCACGCCAGTCAAAGGGGTGTGTTTCCCCTGGCACAGCAGCACAAATCAATAAACACCGCAGCTGCGGCGCCAGCAGCAGCCCCGCGCGTCCGTCGGTCCGTCCGCCCCCTCCCCCACCCTCCTTCCACCCGAGACCCAGAGCGCCATCCAAGCCCCATTATCCGGCTTCAGCGCTCCGTGCGTCCGGCCCAGGTAACAACTTCCCCAAAAACCGAAAGAGAAAAGCGCGAGGCGCACGCACACCGGCCCATCCCGGCGCGGAGACCGCGTCTGCCCGGGGAGGGGATCTGTCTGTGGTGCTTCCCCGTCCCTAAGCCCAGGTAACAACTCCGCAAACACACCCGCCGCCCAGCTCGCCGCCATCCGCGCAGCTCCTGGCGGCGTTAACTGGCTGCCCTGCCTGCCCTGTCCCCGCGCCGCCCCGCCGCGCCCCGCCAAACGTGTACCCCACTCGCGGGGGTCGCCGCGGAGCCCCCAAGCCGGGGCTCTGGGCCGGGCTGCGGGAGGCTCCGTGGAGGAGGGGCGCTTAGGGACCCGCGCCCCCGCGCCCCTAATCCCCGTTCCGCGAGCGCGCCCGGCCCGCCGGTCCCAACTTTACCGCCGCCGGCCGAGCCCCGTCAGCCCGCGGCGCGCACCGCCGGCGCCCGCGCACACGCGCGCACAGACCCCACGCAGCCCGTGGCCGCCCCGTCCCGCTGCCGCCGCCGCCGCCCGCCCGCCGCGCTCACAGCCCGGCCCGAGTGGCGGGGCCCGAGCGACGGCGCCGGCCGGGGCCGCGGCGCGCGGAAGCCACTTTGCACGGTCAGCGCCGGGCACAAGTTTGTTCCGCGGCTCCCGGGGGCCTGGGCGCTGAGGGAGAATCCCGCTGAGGGGGCCGGGAGGAGGGGGAGAGGGAGGCGCCGAAGGGCACAAGAGTGGGGAAAAGTGAGGAAAGAAGCAACAGCCGCTCCACCCGGGACCAGAAAAGTGGCCGGCGCGTCCCGGCCGCCCGCCCTGCGCCGGGGATGCGGCGGCGGCGGCGGCGGCTAACGGTCCAGGGAGGCGGCAGGGGCGGCGGGAGCCGCTAGGCGGAGAGAGACCAGGTAAGAGACATAACGGTTCAGGGAGAGCGAGCGGCCGCGGCGCGGCTCCGGCAGCGGCGGCAGCGGAGGGGGGCAGAGAGCACTACTTTCTACTTTCCCACTCCACTTTGCCGTCCCTGCCCCGGCCGCCCCCAGCCCGGCTCGCCCCCCTCACCCCCGGGGGCGCCCCGGCTACCCGGCTCCCCCTGACTCCGCCGCTCCCCGGTCCCCTCCGCCACTTACCGTTATTGCGCCGCGGGTTCGCCTGCTTTCTGCGCTTACACCTGGGGCCATCCGCCATGATCCTCTCGCTTGTGTCTAAATGCTCGAGTCACCTCCTCCCCCTCCCTCCCCCTTCCCCCCCACCCCTCCGCCTCCACCCCTCCCCCCTCCCCACCGCACCTGGTTTACGACACTCGCGGCTTTACGACATCACCTTCCTTACACCTAGAGGCGCTCGCTCTACGGCCGGAACCTTGTTGCTAAGGACCGGGCGGTTTGCGGCAACCGTGGGCACTGCTGAGTTTGAATTGAGGGGCGAGGGAAAAGTTTTCCTCAGGTGTGGTGGGGCGAGGGAGAGGCGGGTGTTGGGAAACCGTGGGGACGCGGTCTGAACGGCCACGAGCTGTCGCAGTTGGAAAGGTAAAGTTGGAGGCTCGGCGGCGTCCTGCCTCCACGCTGACCACACCCGCTGCCCGGGGCAGGGAGGGATCTGGCTGCTTTTCCCGTGGACCCTGTGCCCTTGGAGCTGCCCCTTTGAGCGCCCCGAGGTCTCCGCCTGCCTGCTTCCTGGAGGCAGGGCTGCCATCAGTCCCACGCCTCGCGTGTCTGCTCCGCTCACCCCGGGGCCAGGGAAAGGGAACATGGTCTGGACTCCCCGGGGACTTCCCTTGATGAGGGGAAGGGCAGGTTTGGGGACGGCGAGGACCCGCGCGGCACCCGGAGACAGGCTACCTGACCCACGGCAGCCTGGACTTCCTTCCCTTAGGGACGCACGGTTTCCCTGCGAGCGAACGGGGATGGGAATTGACTTCAATGAGATTGAAGTTCAGCTGGACTGAAAGAGAGGCGAGAAGTTCCGCTTGCCAGCAGCCTGGTTAGCAGAGCGGAATGAGTAATACCCACACGGTGCCTGTCTCACTTCCCCATCCGCACCCGGCTCTCACCTGCTGTCAGCTCGGCCTCCCCCACCCGGCCCTCGCTCCCCTCCCTCCCCTCCCGCCTCCTCGTGTATACCCCTGGGTTACTGGGTGGCAGGACTCAGAGCCAAGGTATTCACAGGCCATGATTTGCTTCCTAAATGAGGGGTCGTCACCCTTCAGGATGATGTTTCAGGCAAGAAACAACAGCGGACAGATGTGGTCTCTGAACCTGATAGATTGCTGATTTTATCTTAAGTCCTTGGTATAAGTTTGGGGATTTCTGAAAGACCATACAGATAATACCACAAATATCAAGAAAGTCGTCTTCAGTATTCAGTAGAATGTAGATTTATGTTTCTCTTCCAGCTTCCCACCTCCTTCGAACAAGGAAACGCCTTTGGGACCACCTTTATGGGATAAATGAGCTGATCTGTATTTCAAGTAATATAGTTATAAATTAACAATGTAGGAGTTTATTAATAGAGAAATTGAGAAAACGGAAAAGTGGCCAGAGTATTGGAAATAACTGGTAAATCACCTAGCTCACTGTCTGACACATAGTAGGCGCTGAATAAATTTATGCTTATAATTTTTGCTACCTATGTGGCAGGATTTTTTTATTAGGTTAAAATTATCTTTTAACCACCTTCCGGAATTTTAGGATATTCATTAATAATGTCTTCAAACCTTTCAACTGAAATAAATTTACAGCTGAAGTCTGGTGATTTAAAGTTAGAAAGTTTAATCTTGAATATAGATGAACATTTTCTCTCCCACATTTTCTTGGACATTTTGAGAAGTAAATGCATTATTTATTGGTCCATGAAATGTAACTGTAAATATTCTTTGCTATACATTATGTCTATATATCTGCACTTATCCTCAGTGCCAAAACTAGAATCATTATTCTTAATGATAATTTCAAGTACAGGCGGTATTTGCTTTCCTCAATAACCATGTTAACTGAAATTTGTGCGTGTCAACACAGTGTCCTTGCTTTTCTTGGTTAAGTGTGAATTCTTCCTCCCCTTTTAAGAGTTGTACGGTGTTCTTCCATCACCTACCGAATCAGGTGATAGACTATGGAATTGCCCCCACCCCACCAACGTTTTTTCAGCCACCCTAACTTCTGACCAGAAAGGAAAAAAAAAATACTTTCCAACTCCAGCACACATATGCCTACTCTTAAACTTAGGAAGTACTGCAAATAGCATTTTATTGTGTTCTCTTTCTGGCCTATACCTCCTTCCCAAGCTTCATTCAGTGTTCATCCTTACCTCATAATCATAAAGAGTGGAAGCAAAGAGACAAATTGAGAAGTCATTTTCTTTCTTCCTTTAATGGTTTCTGGTTTTTTAGTTAGGGCCAGACTGGACAAGTACCTTTTCAGGCAACTTTTTTTCCATGTTTCTATGTCCTCAACACCTAGTGGAGTACATGGCCAATAGTAGATGCTTAATAAACATTCCCTAAATAAATTAATGTTGTTGCCCTTTTCTGAATCTGTTCTTGGCAGTAAAATCCATAATCTGCCTTCATCCCTCCCGTTAATCCTTAGGAACAGCTAAAGTCATGGATGTGAAAGTGATTACTGTCATTTATATCCAGACTAAAATTTCTCTTGATTTTAGTTTCTCCATAATCATTTTCCCTGAACAATTAACTCTGTTCACCTGATTTTTTTAAATGTGCACAGTGAATATTATTGGTAGCCCAAATCTTCTAACATAAAATTTCCATTTTGTAAAAGCTTCTGATAAGTATGTTATGAATTAAATGTTTAATTATCATACTTTATTTACTGTAATTTTCTTGAAAATATTGATATCTAGACTGGAAAGAAGACAGACAATAGTAAATCTCAGAATACATTTCTGCTTTGAACATAATGCATGTGTGACGGTTGCTTATCTCTTAAATATAACTAAAGAATGGGGGAAAATCTTTAGAATCAGTTTATAAAAGTTTATTAAAATTTGGGTTTATTCAACTCAAACAGGGTAGGGGATACTAATATATGAGTTTAACATGTATCCCACATTCTTGGTTTTAGTAATTGTAGTGCTGTCATACACCATACATTCAATATATATGTTTATTTTTAATATGTCAATGAAATGTTAACACTATGCTTCTACTGAGCACTGGGATTATATATGCTGAAGGGAAGAGATTCTAAAAATGAATTGCTGTACTAACTTTTCCAAAATTGGGGAAAAATGTAAATGGGTAGAATATTTTCAATACTCAGTTTTTTCTATAAATTTTTCATAAACCCTTTGCACCTGCTATTTGATTTTCACATATGATTCATGTATAAATTAGGATAAAATTTGACATAAAATTATCTTAAGTTTAAAATGTAGAGATTTCATGGTGTTCCACATGAAGCATATCATTCCCACATAGGTCTCTTCCAAAACACATTGAGAAGTGCAATGTATGATTCTCTAGTCTTCATCAAAATCTAAAGTTGGTTAATCATGGAGGGATAGCGTGTAAATACCACTCTTGAATTCAATATCTAATTTTAACCTTAGAGTTTTGAAGTAAAAAGAAATGTGATACATGTTATCCCTCAAAGTACAGAATCTAGAGGTCTCATAAAGCTGCTACTCAGTCCTTGGCTCTGACTGTGGCTCATGACCTGCAGTAATTCTGGATTTGTGGTTCACTGTGGGACAAAGGAGGGCAATGGTCATTTCACGGTTGCAGTCTCACCAAATTCTGCAATCACTGAGTCAGGAAGGAAACATGACTGCAGGGTGATGCAGAACCAACAGTTGGCCACAGGACCCATGCCAGCCCTTTGAATATAGCCTCCCGAGAAGTATCACAGGGACAAATGTTTTCTCCATACTTCCATGTGGTTTTGTCACATAGTTTACCACAAAATGGCTCCTCCTCTGGGGAATGAGGCTACTATTTTTAATATAAGTAAATGAAGTGTTAACACATGAAGTTTCTTATTTAGGGGGCAATTTTTCAGGAACATGTCTAATACAGAGACAGATAGAAATATATGGAGAAAGGTGTTTGCAGGATGTCAGTGAACATCCAAAAAGTAAAACTAGTATTTTCCATGGAGTCACAATGATTAAAAAGGATTTCTTTCAAAGGCTGCCTCCATAGAAGTTACATTGTAGTTTCTATTACTAATATTACTTATGAATATGAATAACATTTTATTTTTTTCTACACTTAGAACTATATGTGGGTAACTTGAGAAAAAGCAACACACATATTTTTGATTTAAGTGAATTTTAAGTGTTTACCGTGATATCAGGGGTCTGATACCTGGTTTCTACCATTGTTTTTTCTCTTTTGTCTCCGTGTATTTCTTTTCTCTGTCATCTTTTAGCAGCTGATTGATTCTGTTACAGAGTGTGGCTGTATCTTTGTCCTACAGTGCTGGCGTTCTGTAAATTGCAGATCCTCAGTTACAGTTGTCGCCTCTGTTCAGTCCTTGGTGTACATGCCTTTAAAATGTTTGCAGTCAGTAACAGGTTTTAGATGTTCTACCATTGTATTAAACTTAAATGAGAAAGTTGGTGATAAATACCCTGTGTGGAATTATATCCACAACTTTAAGATCCCTGGTCAGACCCTTCTCATTCTCTTCAGACCTTATGCCTCTATTTCTTTGCTTGCTGTCTTTATCCTACTTACATAAATAGATCAGACATTTTGCCCCTCCTCACTGTTTTACTTTGTAATCATTCTCTTCCTCTATCTTTCTTTGCCTAGCTCTGTTTGGATCATTTCCCTTTCTCTTTTTGTTTAAAATTTTTTGAATCGTTCCCACTCTGTGAAATGCTTTGCTTTTTCATATTATCCCTCTTATACTTTGTCCTTCAAAGTACATCTCTGCCTTTCCATGCTCTGCGAGGCTGACTTCGGTTGAAGTCACATCACCCAGGCTTCTTTGCTCTCTGGTTCTCTGGTTTCTATTTGGTTTCAGCTAATTTGGAGGTTTTGGCAAATGATCAGAGGAAGGAGAGGGAGGTCAGGATATTTATTCCATTCCCTGCTGCCTGGCTGTGGCTCTAGCTTCATTCCTCTACCTGAGGTCCCTGGCTCCTGTCTGATGCGCTCATCCCATGGCCACAGGTCTTGCCAAGTTTCAGAAACTGCTTCTTCTCTTTGTGTCTTCAGACCCAGGGTTGTAATGGTTGAATGCTTCATCGTTCCTTCTCTTAAAACCCGTCCACACCTCTGTAAATAGTCTCTTCATTAAACTGTCCTCAGTGTATCCTTTGAATATGCCATCTGCTATTTGCCAGGACCCTGAGTAATATGCATATAGAAGTAAAGCATTTTAACTTTATTTCTTATCAACCAATAATTCTGTTATTTCCATTCCTTAAAATACTAATGTTTGAATGTGATGTAAAATGCCTTATGTTATTTGTTGAAC